TGATCGATAAAAAAATTGAGATCGTCTTTTTCTAGTTCGGCTTGTCGATTGTATACTCAAGTCTACACAAGATTTCGGATACTGTCATTGAAACGAACGACAACAGCAGAAAAAATAACGTGGTATGTTTCTCTCCGTTTCAAACATTCATTTTAACCTTCAAATACTTAAGACTTACAAACAATAGACTTTGCTGCCTTCATGTTTGTTACTTTCAAATGGTAGACCCTCTTGAGTTGTGTGTCTATTTCTCCCTGTGTCGAGCGTGCTTGCCTCCATTACTGTGCACGTATGTTACAAGTTATAAACCTTTAACAACATTGGACAATATAGAGTAAGATCAGTTTTCGGTTTGTTTGCTCTTTGCTTCAAAGATAAAAAGGGGAGATAAGAGTATTTAAATAGGTCCCAGTAGCGTAGCTGCCTTAGGCTCGAGTAGGCACCTGCCCACACATAATTTTGTCAAGTGTTTGTTTTAGTCAGTGCAAATTCAAGAAATTGAAAAATTGAATATGCATGTGTATTCATTAAAATTGAAAACAATACTATATCCATGATGTTTTGTATAGGTTTAGTACAAAGTTCGAAAATCATGTTTCAGTCGAAAAAGGTCTTGTAATACACAAATTTCCAATAAAACGTTCAAGGTTATTCTAAAAGAAAAAGGCAATGCCACAACGATGAACAGGTTTATGGTACAGAACATTTGAAATACCGAGAAAACCCCCTCGCCTTTAAAAACTGTCTCGTCTTCTGAAGCTTCTCAAAGTAATTATGTTAAGACGTCATTCGTTAATTCCTGTGCCCCACCCTAACCTGATTTAATTAGTTTCTAAAGTAATTAAGATGACTTAAGACCGTCTTTAACTCAGTGATATAACAAAGAGCTATTCGTTGAAACATAGGGACAACAAGAAATCATCCGCTTGTAATCTTAAAAGAAAACCAAACACAAAGTTTTTATATCCTGATCCCGTTGTGCAAACCAAACTGAAAATTGTGCATAATTGGCATGTATTTGTTTCTGCAGACAAAACAATTGATATTTTAATCTTTGTCTGCAAACACTATTACATTGTCTGCTTGCAAGGATACAACTACGCATGCTTGATAACCAGGGTAACGCTATCTATACACTTTCCAGTCATTCGAAATACGAAATACTAGCTAAGCATGCGTCTGTATTACAATCTTTCCGAATACCCATTAATGAGAAGGAAACAGACCAGCCACGTTTGTATTTGATTCCAAATTTTACAAGAATTCATATAGATAACGTTTTATCGCAGGCTCATATTGTTGCTCAACCAAGCCATTACTGTATGTCCATATATCTACCATCAATGGAGAGGACTTATATAGGCTATGAGCCTGTTGTCCAATCCTGTTGACAGTGTAACATTCTTCTTTGTCAATAAAACATGTTGAAATTGAGTTGCTCAACCAAGCCATTATGCAACCTTCTTATACCATTCTCTTGATACCATTTTATTATGGTTTTTGAAGAATTCAACAGATCTTTTGGTCTATCTTGACCATCTTCTATTCATTTTACTTTCCGAACCCTTACACTACCATTCTTCTTACCAGATAGAAGGAACGACTTCGTTCTCTTATTATGAGAGTTTCTTTTCAAAAAGAGTAGCGAACTGCGATATAAATGTGTGGTTATAAATTGGTTTGGAGAACATTCTATAAAATAAAATGAGTATACAGAAGATGAAATTGTGAGAATGATTAGGTTCCTGGTATACAATATCTTTTTTGAGTTCGGTGAAAGACTTTCCTTCAGTGAGCAGACCGTAAGAATCGCCTAGCCAAGTTCTTTAATTTTACCATCAGATATATCGGCGATGTGATGTCTTTAAATAACAAAGAAAATATTGACCACATTAATCAGTTTTACCCCTGTAGCTTGAAACTAAGGAAACTACAGGCTCTTCAGCCTCAGCATCTTTCCTCGATCTTTACTCATAACACGATCAAAAGGAACCTCTTACAACTTCGCTGTACGATCAGCAGGACGATTTAATTTTCCAAACTTGAATTATCCCTTTCTTGAAAGAAACATCTCTGCTTTTCCATGTTGCATGTGATTCGGTCGGTATTGAACAGCTTGATCCAAATAACATAATTTAATGACTTCATCATGATATCATAGATTTCGGCTGCTGACGTACACACTTACAACACATTCGAAGATGGAGGTTTATGAAATGTAATGGCAAGTTTATAGTCGCAATCATAATTTACATATAATATGGAATATTCTATTTGTTGTCTGATATAAAGGTCGATGTTTTTTATTACGCGTATAATAGTGGTTTTCTTGTCACTGTCCCTGTTCTCATTATGAGGACGTAACATAATTTAGATTTGACTAAAATTTAGAAAAAATGTCGTTTGTCATTGATGTTCTCTATGTCTTTGTTCATATTTATCTCGAGCTTATCGATTTTGAGTTCACGCTATTTCGTCGACACTTCGGTATTCTCTTTTTTTAAGAACCACCACCCCACCCATAGATAGTTCAAATTAGTTATAGACTTTTAGATAACGATTCCTGTTTATCCTACTTTTCAATAATTTTATAAGATAATGTCAGTGGGAACGAGTTGAAAACTCCTGAAAAATTCCTCACAATTAGATCATTACCATGCATTCTCTTTTAGAAATTGGTATATACTTTGGTATTATTTTTACATCTGTATATTCAAAGATAAAACTGACCGGTATATTTATCAATTGATTTTGTTTACGAAATTAAAACCGTTGTCGTTAAACTGAAAAAGAGCACATGTATTAGCCAATTGTTCAAGTATCGACACCAGATTTATACCTTAGCTACACCCCTGGGGTCTGTCGCTTGAGAATTGATCAAACTAACGCGGTTGTGGGGAAGTTAAGCTTAAAGTTACCTAACGGTAATCCGTCGGAAAAACTGCGGTATGGATTTAACTCATAACATTTCAGAAATAGAAGTATATCAGTATCTAAATATTCAAATTTCAAATAACTTTAGTTAATGTCAGTGATAAGCGTGTGAAGTTAGTTTCCTACTACTACTTCTATCACACTGGGTCGAAGCCATGTTTACGTTATTAGCATACATAAGCGAATTTACGAGTTGTCACGAGAGCAGAATCCAAGGAATGGCGACTATCGGTTCGACTGGGTCAGTAATACGTGTTCGACAGGGGCAGAGGTCAAGTTTAAGCCATGCACGTGTTTTCATCTTAATTGATAAAGATAGTTTACTTAAATTGATATCCTAATTGACTTTATATATTTCAATTAAGAAGTGGTAATAACAATATGTTATCGTAATAGAAAAAAAAGCGTGCCAAAATTTGACCAGAAATATCTTCCGTTTAAAGAGGGCTTTTGGGACATGCGTGACATTATGTCAATCATCGTATTATTTACAGCACGTAAGAAAACCAAATTTAATTCGTTTACTGTTTTATATCTTTGACACGTTACACAGCGTGAGTGTAGTATTAACGGAAAGTTAATAACGATTTGCTATGTAAGGAAACTGAAAACAATGCCTGTTTTATCATACTGATATGAAAATAGAGCGAAGGTTAGAGCGACGAAAACTTCAATTTGATCGAACGAAACATTTGTATCTGAATTATTCAAATTGTTTGAATTCTGTGATTGAAGCTTTTAGTGTAATCTAAATAGTTGTTTTTTATAGGTATGATCTTGAGAGTTGCTTTCTATTTGTATAATCTAGAGTGTTTTTTCTATTAGTATCATCTAAAGTGTTGTTTTTTATTTGTATAATCAGGAGTGTTGTTTCTAAAAGTATAATCTAGAGTGTTGTTTTCTATTAGTATTATCAAGAGTGTTATTTCTATTTGTATCATCGAGAGTGTTGTTTTCTATTAGTATAATCTAGAGTGTTTTCGTGTTGACGAGGCATTGGGCACTTACGCTGGTTTACACTATGATACCCTGTGGGCGTTTCGGTTTTTTAAATAATGTTACATATTGTCCTTGTTACTACTTCCCCTCCAATCCATCTCTTATTAAGGGAACAAAGGAAATCAGCATTGATGACTTCTCCTTAACTCAACCCGTATAGCGAAGCCACCTATTCAGTTTACATCTGATGAATGGAGATATCACCACATAACCTCACAAACATAGAAAAGTATTCCCTATACATACTGTATTGTTTTCTGTAAATGGTAAACAACTTTATGCATAAGTCTAATTTCAATAAAATCAAGGAATGATCAGTTCAGTAAATGTAACAGCTTGAAATATGCATCATTCTTCCTGAACTATATTTGCTGTTAATTACGTCACACAGTTGTGTTTCGTTCATATAAAACAATAATATTTGTGAGATTTGTAGTAGTCTTTTCAAGGTCATTGTATTGTTATACTTGTTTATGTAGTCCGACTACATGACCTGGTATCATTATTTGTATCTTGAATTGTCTTTGTAGATTTGTGTCATGGATAAGTTTTAAAATAAAGACAAAATGTCGAGAACATTTTTCAGAAGTAAAAAAATATCAATACATTTAGCTACAGTAAATCTGTGTTCTTGGGAACCGAACAGAACGGTTAGGTTTGCAGGTATATGAATTATGACGCATATCATATATACCTAATTTTAGTCGAACACAGGTCAATGCTAACTACATAATAAATGTTTCGGGAATTTATTGAAAAATAGAACATAAAAAATATATTTTGAAAATCTTGGCGTTTTTATTTAAATTAGATCGCCACCAAGTGTCTCGTCATGGTTTGTAAACAGTCCTATAATTAATATAATAAGATATACTATTCACCAAAGGCCGCGGACAATTATTCTTATTCTAAAGCACTTTATTCTTGTAACTTGTGACATTTTTATACTTATATACAAGGCAAAGTCAAGTACACGTGATATGTCACATGCTTACATTGAGACAGTCTCAGTCAATTTATCCCAGAAGATAAATACAAAGCAAACTCAAGCACACGTGATATGTCATATACTCACATCGAGACAGTCTTAGCCAATTTATTTCAGAAAATAAATACAAAGAAAAGTCAAGTAGACGTGATATATCATACGCTTACATTGAAACAGTCTCAGCCAATTTATCCCAGAAGACAACGTTACCTTGCTCGTCGTGCGGATACTCAATGTAAGATTTGCTTTCTATCAGATCCATCAGTGTCAACGGAAGATCTTTCGCTGCTATATCTTCATAGAATACCAACAGTAAAACAGACTTGCCTCCCCTTGAGTAGATACTCTCCATACGAGCCATGTTGAATTCGTACATACACCAGTATGACTTAAGATAGTTGTTAGATACAATTACCACTGTTTTCCAGCTCTGGTGTATGGCTTTGGTAATGTTCTCTGCTATGTATTGTCCAGGAATGAAATCACGTTGATGTAGACAGAGTTTTAAACCACTTCGTCCCTCCATGTTCTCTAATAGGTCACCCCTGATAAACCTCCCGTCCTGTTCACAGTACGATATGAAGGCATCATATGGGAAATCATCACGTTCGTCATTGTTGGTTTCCAAACTTGTGTATCCCTTGTATCTTGTTTTTGCCATGTAATACAGATATCTTAATTTCCATCGATAGCGGTACACAATTCCTGAGACGGTCAATGAGATGGCCAGAACGATAGCAGACGTTATCCCTGCTATCAATCCGGTGTAATCATAACAGTCCTTTTTTAACTCAATCAAAACATTTTCGAAATTCCAAAATGTCGTACTTGAGTCATTTGGGAATCGACATTCGTAGTTCCGGAAGTTGTCAAACATTGCCTTATCGCCGTCTAGCCACTTTAAAAACTCCAGTGTTTCACACGAACACTGAAGTTGATTTCCATACAAGTTCACTGTCAGATTTGAACGCTTAAGGCTATCTATCTGAACGCGATCATACTCGCTAAGTTGATATAGTTGATTGTGAGAGATGTTTAAGTGTTGCAAATTTGTCATGTGTTTGAGCTCAAGGTCGAATGTGTAAAGTTCATTATTACTAATGTTCAGTATTTGGAGTTCGTTTTGATTCTTAAGCAAAAGGTTTGGAACTGCCTGTATACGATTCCAAGATAAATCCAACACTTTTAAATGTGTGAGATGTCTGAAAATCTTTCCATTCGTATCGTTATATAAAACATTCCCCAGCAGATTATCATGTATAATTAGGGATTCCAGGTTCGGACATTCGTTAAAGAATTCATCTGATATAAACGTACAGTAATTGTTTGATCCATCAACATATTTCATGTGATGTAAATTTGAAACTGTGCCTTTCCAGGAATGTAATAAGTTGTTATGGAGGTCAAATCGTGTCAAGTTGTTCGGACCGAAAGGAATACGTCCTGTTATTACATAATCTAAAATACTATCATGAAATAAGACCTCTTTCAGGTTAGGAGGAAGATTAATAGTAACTGCCGATAGCTTAACAATGTCGAGAACAGCGTTCTGATCTGTAGAGGAGTCATCGTCACTTGAGGATGGTGGTGCCCGCCAGTCGTTGCAGTCCTTCGAACCGGTGATAGGGTCATGGGAGGAGTACTGGTTACTTCCGTCGAAAAACTCTAAATTGATAGCGCTGGCTAATTCAAAAATATAGTTCCCATACGTTATCCTATTTTCTTTTACCGAGAGAAGCCGTAAACTTTTCGGTAATCTTGGAATCACGCCGAACTCGAGTAACGATAATCTATTACTGTCTATGTACATATTTGTCAAATAAGTATGATTGCTTAATTTGTCTATATCTTGCACATATATAGCGATTCCAGGTCCATAGTCACAGTGGAGCTTGCTGATATCTAATGTGCGGATTGGTACAATTTGTAGGTCATCAGTCAAATTGGACATAACGCTGAAGGTTAGCCGGTCATTGTGGGAAATGTTCAGAGCGTACAGATTAGCAAGCACACGGAAAGTTCCAATTTCAATGCTACGCATTTTACAGTAAGACAAATTGAGATGTTGAATAGAGGATACATTTTCGAAATAATTAGATCGCAAGATAGGTAATACACAAACTCCTGTGTGACCTTCTAGGTTTAGAGATTCTAGTTTTATAAGGTTCTTGAAATCGCCAGTGAAACCAGCTTGATCCACACCGTCTAATAAACAAGTTTTCAGCGTTGTAATATTTCCAATACTCACTGGATACGTCAGGTTATCAGAACGAACTCTGTCATTGTGATTGTTACACTTCAAATTGAGATATGTTAAGCTTTTCAATCCATGAAATACATTATTTGAAAATACATATGAAGTGTATTGTAGGAAATTGTGACTCAAATCAAGATGTTTTAATGCTTGCATAGGTTGGAATGGATCGCCAATGATTTTTTCCAGTTTGTTCTCAGAAATATCCAGATACAAAATAGAACTGGCTACTTGGTCTCCCTCGATCTTTAAGTATTTGATATTGTTCCTCTGTAGCAATATGTCAGTAACGTTGGAACTGAAATCTGGTATAACAGAAATGTTCGAGTCGGAGCAGTCCGCCACTACACCACCGCTGGCTGAAGCTTTACAGCGACATCTCATATCCGAGGCGCAGGGTATGTCTACATTCGTTGTCGCATTGATTTGCGATGCCAGGATAGGGCTGGATGACGATCCATCTGGAAGTATGGATGAGGTTCCTTCTAGAAGTACGTGTAAATGTCCATATACTGTCTGTATTGTGGCAACCATCAAGATCACTGTAAACATAAAATACAAGGTTGAATATCTTATTTTAAATGTAGAAGTCATATCATAATTTATAAATGAATGCTTCCCTATCTATAAAACAATAGAATAATCACGTGAATTCTGCTTCATCCTTATAGTTCCTTGTAGAAACTTTAAAAAAGCATTGTCTTTTAAGTTTTGCTTTACTGTATATGTAATACAATGTTTAAAAATAGAAAAAAACATAACATCACATCGAAAGGGCAATTTGAAAACCCAAACCTGAAAAATAAAAAACGACAGGACCGAGATGTTAACAACACAAAACAAAAATTAGACAAAATAAATTCTCCATGATTGTAAGTGTTTCAAGTATTACGTGTGGTACTCGTTTTCGGTTAAATCAAGGAAAGCATAAAGTTTTGAGCTACTTGGGGCGTTGTGATCACATATTCAGTCACAGTAGAATACGAAAGGGGTCAAAATGTGTTTATGTAAGTTATGTATACGTCAACTATCCTCCAGAAAATCATATAGAAAAGGTTAAGAGTATAAAAGATAAACTCGTAAACTTTGATATAAAGTTTGATAGTGTTGTTGCCATAACTGTCATACTGTAGGGAAATAATAAATATTGGAGGTGAGATGACCATTTATGTCATACATTAGGTAAATATTACTATTTAGCAGACAGCCTTGTGTAAGAAGGTTCCAGGAAAGAAATAAAACTCTGGACAAATAAATGTGATAAAAATCAAATGCATATAGGTCCTGTAAATGTTATCAATTTAATATATAAAATTCAAACTACAATGTACAGACTCCAAAGACAAATATTTGTATCTTTATTTCAAAAATGTGATTTGATAAAATCAATGTTAGTTTAAAATGTGTTTTATTCTTTTTGTTTCTCTCCTGTTATAAAAAGACTAAAACACATAATAAGTTAACTTGGTAAATAGTAATTACTTTCCAAGAATTTATTTCTCTGTGAATTTTCTCTCTGGAATTCTAATTCAAATTTAAAATCAGAATCTGTTATTACACTTGTAGTTTATTCTCAAATTGAAGATATGTTTTCTTGTGTTATGAATGAGAGTCCACATATCTACATTGCATAAGATTCCAAATTCTGCTTGTCTCCCCTGGATTCAGCTTGGTTATCACATGTACATCTCGCCTTTATTTTGAAGGTGTTTATAAAAGTTCATCATGTGTAACCAGATAATTTTGTGCTCATTGAAAAATGTTTTAAGCAGAGGAGTTTTGACCCCCTTTCACCCACGCACTCACAAGTACATTGTAAATGTGCAACTACCACACAACCACCTCCTCAGAATCCCATACTCGGGGTGACTAGAATTTTCTTCTTCCTTGTATGAGTCGGCCTCGAATTGAATGGAATGACTGCGTACATCTCAAAAAATCTAAGGGGGGGGGGGGGGTTCTTGGGAAGATATTCTTCTAGTGTGATACTCTGTCCTGTCTAAGCATGAGGTGTCCTCAAGTTCTACAGTCACTTTCTGTGAATTATACTACTGAAACTGCTTTAACTGTATGTTTAAATGATGGTCAAACAAGATATTGATATTTAGTGCTCTGTGGGACCAAAAGAGCAATAACAAGGTAGACACGTGTTCGAATGTATGAAAATGCAGTGTATGTCTAACATGTGTAATTGTTTACATCTATAATTGGAGTTGTCATATATTAAAATCAGCGATTAAAAACATAATTTTGACGACAGCAGTCTTTAATGCCAGTGATTTTTTTACCCCATTTAGTGCCGACTTTAGGTACTTTCCCAAAGAGAAGCTTTCCCAATTCTGACCCAATATTACCCAATAGCTTATACAACTATTAAAGTATGCCTTCTTATACTGTTGTACAACGTTGTTAAAATTTTTGACAAATATAAGTGTATCTTGGGGCATTGAATTCAGGCTTCAAGTTTTGTTTACACATTGAGCGCGATCACACAAAATTTCCCTAATATCATACATCCGTAACATGTCGTAAAATTCCAAATTCATTGTGTCCGCGCAGTAAAATTCCCATAAAAAAGGCACTGGCCCTTTAGAAAAAAAGACATATGACCAAAACAATTTGCGACACTATTTTTTTTAGTTCCGGAAATTTGTAGCGTGGAAACGACATATTCCGCTCGTAGTCTGTCAATGTACCGGGTTTTGAACTCGATTGTCTTTGTTACGATACAGCAATAATTAGACGTTGACTCGGTTACAGAAACTACACAACAATTAGTGAAATCAGGCACATCACGTTTGGAATGTTGCGCTAGCATTGTAAACGGAAATATAATTCGTTTATAATACCGTACCCGGAAGCTGTCCAAAGATCTGGAATACGGATAGGAACTTTTTTATTTATTTCCAGAGCATTAATGCTACTTGATTTTAACATATATTAAATATAAGTGTGGGAACACGATAAAGAATCCATGTGTTTGACGGTATGGATAATAATATGACATAATTTCACCGAGAACCCCACACTTTTTATGCTTACCTAAAAGCATATATACTTGACTGTCTTCTGTCAAAGTTTTAGTAAATTGACATGGGATTTAATAGTATTTTTGCTTGTTTTAATGCATATGTTCGATGTAAATTTGTTAAAAATTGCATTTTGAACAGAATGGATGGTCATAAAAAAATGCATAAATTTAGCAAATATAATTGGTTTTGTTTTATTTTTTATTTTGATATTATATTACATAATGTTGAAAAAAATTGTCGACTTGGTGGTAACTTAAGTTTTATAAATATTGTAGAAAACATATTTTTACTTACTTTCATTTTTAGGGGGGAAATTTCAGAAAAGTGGGTAGCTCTCAGCTCAAATATCTCAAACCGTAAGTCGAGAACCCCCTTTTTTCTTTTCATATATGGAATCTACGTAAATAATGCAAGAAAATAAGCCTAATTAGAAAAAAATGACATGGGTTTTCCCAAAAGTATGGACCCACCTTAATTGACGATTTAGTCATATTGCACAATTCGTCCTTCGTTCTTTTTTTCTGTACCAACTTGCTAAACTTGTGAATAGGTGCACATTTGTTTTGTTATTCTAGAATCAAATTTTCAATACACTGCAACAAAACAAACAGCTTTAATATAGCACTATGTAATGCCTATCTAAAGTATCTGGCTATCAAAAATAATTTAAAAGGAGAATTCGTTTGTAAATATACTAGAAGCTCACGGACCTTATTTGGGTGTATTTTGAAATCACATTTACAAAACAAGATAATATAGTATTATCAATCATGTTCGCAACAAAAACATATCAAAGAGTACGGTAGTTTTAAACAATAACAGGATGTGATAACTACATTTTGCTAACTTCGGCGAACAACTTCTTCCAAAATCAAACATATGGCAGTTTCCCCTTATACGCTGCACTCAAGCAGTCATAAAAGGGGAAGTAAGAGTGTTTGAGGTACACATTTCTTCTCAATTAAACTGCCATTAAGTTATTATAACTACAACGAACTTACTTTATTCGGAGAATAATTTTATCAAATAGATATGTTTGCTGTATTAAACTCCACTCTTATCCGAGGGCAATGGAATTCACAATTTGAAAATAAAACTCTTTTGTGTTAATTACTCGAAAGTTCGACTGAATAACTCGAAATTTTAACATAATAACTCACAATTTCAAGTAATTTTCTTAGAATTTTGAGTTATCATATTGAAATTTCGAGTTATTAAGTCGAAATGTCGAGTTAATAACACAATAAAAACAAATTGGTTTTTGTTCTACATGGCCCTAATGCTCTTCCGTGCGTGACAGATAAAAGTATTTCGACAGAAAATCACATAAGGCTTTTATGAGGTGGCCTAATAAGATAACAACTGAGAAATTGGTTTGATACCTGCTGCAATCACGGCACGGGTTAAACAAACAACATACCATGTCTGGTTTGAAGAGAAAGATGTTTGAGTGTTGATAATACTCGAAAATCACTTATACAGTCACGCTTCGTGTTTTTTTAGAGAAAACCTTATTCACACACGTTGGACACAACCTTTAAAATATGGTACTTAATACAGCAATCTTAAATTAAATTGCATTGCACCCTACAGCTGTTTAGTTAGTCAAAAATAACTATATTCACTAATTATTCAGCTGTTTCAATAATCAAATAAAGAAATTAATACTGATTTGTTAAACAGATTGATATGAAAAGCAGCAGCAGAGAGATTAATTTGGTATGTTTTATATCCGTTTCAAATATTCACTTTTATCCTCCAAATACTTACGACTTACCATCAATAGCCTTTGCTGTCTTCATGTTTGTTACTTTCAAATGGTAGACCCTTTTGTGTTGTGTGTCTGTTTATACAATGATTTCAGCCAAATGAGCGTGCGTGCTTCCCTTACTGTGCAGGTATGCTTCAATCTTAAAAACCTCTTGAAATAACAGGGTTGACGCATGAAAAGTAAGATAAGGTTTAGGTTTGTTTGCACTCTGCTTTAAAAATCAATACGCTTTGTATAGAATTTAGATCAGGTCGGTAGATTGTCATTTGATAAAATGAACGCGATTGTTGAGAAAACTAAATGTGATTGAGTAAAACTTGATATCGGAATTATTTTAATAATTTGTGTTTTGATTGAAGCTCTTAGTGTTTTCTATTTGTATAATCAAGAGCGTTGTTTTGTTTGTCACACGTGTGGTACATTTCCAAAGGGGAAAAGGGGCGATGCCCTAATAAAATAAATAGGCGGTTAATCTTTAAAGACTACACTTGAAATAAGAAAAAACACACCTAAATGCGGGCCCAAAAGGACGGATAAGAGTTATCTTTAAAAGACTGTTCTACAAGTATGATTGAGTAAAAGAACTAAAGCGTTCAGATTTACCGACAATGTTTCTAAACATTTTCTTCCGGTGGTAAGTATGGATTATGAAAAGTTTCTTCACATAACCAATAACAGTGTCTATGTGGCGTTTCTATGACTATTACGGTATGTACACTGTCACTTTCATCAGACAAATGACCAACAACGCGTACAATGTAGCTGAATCGAGTCATTTCGGTTCATACATAACAACTATTGTACATACGCTTACAGCGTAGCCGAATCTACATCGATTGTGTGGACAACTCGTCCACATTTTGTATCACAAATATATAAACTATTACAAGGCTATATAAATATATCCATATTCTGACTTAATGATAATTTCGATCTACATTGGTATTTAAGTAAAATTTAATCGAACTTAGTATAAACATTGTATAGGTATGTTGTACAGTATATCAGTCCGCTTAGTATAAACATTGTATAGATATGTTGTACAGTATATCAGTCCGCAATTTCTAGATATGAAATGTTTATAAATATGTATCTATAAATAGTATACAAGTAAATACATTTAAAATAAACTTGTGTATTACAAGTAGGTAGTTTAACTGTGACACTCTTTATATATGTTTTCAATTGTATTACATGTTTAAATAAATATGGATATACATAGAGTCATATAATCTATATATCAATCTGCTATTCAAATGTCAGGAAAGCACCATAAGAATAAGTTTTATTCTAAAATAGTTACATCATTTGTATGTGAATACATTTTCACACTCTTCCCATATTTGAAAAAAGAGCTTTGGCGGAAAACTATGAAAGTGATGGGGTTCCCCAGACTTAAAACATACTTTCAGCTCTTTCCCATCCGAGGACCAACTTTTGATTCCATGATGTAACATGCAAAACAAAATCGTATGGCGGAAAAGTAGTCCTCTTTTGGGAAAGTGCTCCAAATAATGAAAAACAAGAATGAGTAAGTTTCTTAAAACTGAGACAGGTGTTTCTTTGGTTAAAACAGTTTGTTTTTTCGCATTTGTCTATGTCCGATGTATCCGAATGTTTAACGCAGTTAACTTGTGACCAGACTACATTAATAAAACATCCTTTAAAATAATATTGATGAATTGTTTTATCCTCCAGTTGGCACAAGTGATTTTATTTATTAGTTAAACACAAACAAATGATGCCGAAATACAAAATATGTCGGATTTTTGCGTCATAATTTAAAATAAGGCCAATAAAAAAATGTTATTGTCGCAAATATATAACTAAAATTGTAGGAAAATTCATCGTCGAGGACAGTCTCATTTGGTTGAAATGCAGGATAACTGCAGCACTATGTAAGGAGCGCAATGCACGTGTAATACATGCGTTTCGAATATGATTTGTAATTTGCCATTCAAATATGCAGGAAAAATACAATCAAGATGTGTGTTTTGTAGGAAAACAGGTAACAGCATGACATGACGCCGGCAGTAGTAATGAACATTAATTGTACGATCTTGGCGTTACAAACAGCACATGATATGTTTTAAACTAAAATGAATAACGCAAAATAAGTAGTGAAACGCATGTACTAATAGCCATGGTCTTAAATTCGGCTGTGTACAATAATCTATTCTTAGATAATAATAATTCGATAATAATTCGAGGTGCTTATATACTGCTTTATCACAACCTAGTTCGTATGTCGTCTCAAAGCGTTTCACACATTATTATTCGTGGTTATAGGGCCTTTGCACCCAGCCAATATCTTTCTCAACTCCCTGGGGAACATACAGCCAGTGCTGCCATTTCGGCGCTCACAGCTAGCATTCAACAATTCTAGCACTGCCCATCCACGTACTCATTTACAGCTGAGTAGATTGGAACAAGCGGAGTAAAGTATCTTGCTCAAGGATACAACACAATGCCGTGCCGTGACTCGAACCAGCAACCCTTCGGTCACGATCGCGGCGTCCTACCAATAGACTACCGTGTCTCAAAATCTTAGATACAGGATTCCGATAGAGTTACCAGTATACAAAAATACCTAAGGACGAGTCATTATAATACACGGTGTCCCATGCGCGCTAGAGGTCACAGCTTTGGGTAAATAGGCATACCAACCCTCCCTAGCTCTTTAATTTGTTTACATGTATTTATGTGAACAACTTTTATTCAAAAGAATATCTTTGTGCATTAGATTCTTTCAACAATTTGATCGGCTAAATTAACAACTTAAAAACTTTTAAAATGTGCATAAGCCTTGGTGAACCCCGCTACATCCGCTGCTGATGACGTCATACAACTGCTTTTTCGTTCATAGAAAATTTGCATCTCTCCTACCACATCAATTGCTGTCGACGTCACGGAAACCTGCCTAGTTTTATGGTAAGGTCATTAGATGATAACTCCAGTTTACGGGAACAATGATTATTGAAAAAATAATATATGTGTTCCTGCTGTAGTGAATAGTCACTACACAAGATCAGTCACCAACTGTCTCGTCTAGGTTTGTAAACAATACTATAATTAATATTATAAAAAGATGGTGTTCACCACAGGCCGCGAACAAATATTCTTATTCCCCTGCACTATATATCTATAAGATGTGACATTTGAAGTAGACTTACATACAAGGTAAGTCAAGTTCACGTGATATGTCATATGCTTATGTTGAGACAGTCTCAGTCAATTTATCCCAGAAGACAACGTTACCTTGCTCGTCGTGCGAATACTGAATGAAACATTTGCTTTTTATCAGATCCATCATTGTCAACAGAAAATCTTTCGCTGCTATATCGTCATATAATACCAACAGAAAAACAGACTTGTCTCCCCTTGAGTAGATACCCTCCATACGAGCCACGAATTCACGCATATACCAGTATGACTTAAGATAGTTGTTAGATACAATCACCACTGTTTTTATTCTCTGATATGTCTTTTCCCGGAATGAAATCACGTTCATGTAGACAGAGTGTTAAACCACTTCGTCCCTTCAGGTTGTCTAATAAGTCACCCCTGACAAACCGCCCGTCCTGTTCACAGTACGATATGAAGGCATCATATGGGTAATCATCTCGTTCGTCATTGTTGATCGACAAACCTGTGTATCCCTTGTATCTTATTTTTGCCAAGTAAAACAAATATCTTAATTTCCATCGATAGCGGTACAAAATTCCTAAGACAGTCAAAGAGATGGCAAGAACGCTGGCAGACGTTGTTCCTGCTATCAATCAGGTGTAATCATAACAGGACTTTTTCAACTCAATCAAAACATTTTCAAAATAAATAAATGTTGTACTTGAGTCATTTGGGAACGGCATTCGTAGTTCCGGAAGTTCTGGAATATTGCCTTATTGTCGTCTAGCCACTTTAAAAAATCAAGAGTTTCACATGAACACTGAAGTTCATTTCCATATAAATTCACTGTCAGATCTAAACGCTTAAGACTATATATCTGAAAGCGATCATACTTACTAAATGTATGTAGTTGATTGTGATATATGTTTAAGTGTTGCAATTTTTCCATGTGTTTAAGCTCCAAGTCGAATGCGTAACGTTCATTATTACTGGTGTTCAGTATTTGGAGTTCGTTTTGATTCTTAAGCAAAAGGTTTGGAACTGTCTCCATACGATTCCAAGATACATCCAGCACTTTTAAACGTGTGAGATGTCTGAAACTTTTCCCATTGGTATCGTTATAAAAAAAAATCGCAAGCAGATTTGCATGTACAATTAGGGTTTCTAGGTTCGGACATTCGTTAAAGAATTCATCTGATAAAAACGTACAATACTTGTTTGATCCGTCGATATATTCTACGTGATGTAAATTTGAAACTGTACCTTTCCAGGCATGTAATAAGTTAAGGTGGTCAATTCGTGTCAAGTTGTTCAGACAGCCAAGAATACGTCTTGTTATTACATAATATAAATATCATGAAATACAACCTCTTTCAGATTAGGAGGAAGATTATGTCGAGAACAGCGTTCTGATCTGTAAAGGAGTCATCGTCACTTGAGGATGGTGGTGCCCGCCAGTCGTTGCAGTCCTTCGAACCGGTGATAGGGTAGTGGGAGGAGTACTGGTTACTTCCGTCGAAAAACTCTAAATCTATAGCGCTGGCTAATTCAAAAATAGTTACCGTACGTAATCCTTTGTTCTTTTACGGATAGGAACCGTAAACTTTTTGGTTATTTTGGAATCACGCCGAACTCTACTAGAGGTAATCTATTGCTTTCTATGTACATATTTGTCAAATACGTATGCTTGCTTAATTTGTCTATATCTTGCACGTATACAGCGATTCCTGGTCCATAGTCACAGTGGAGCTTGCTGATATCTAATGAGTTGATTGGTACAACTTGAAGGTCATCAGTCAAATTGGACATAACGCTGAAGGTTACCCGGTCATTGTGGGAAATGTTTAGTGCGTGCATATTTGTAAGCACACGAAAAGTTCCAATTTCAACGCTACGCATTTTACAGTAAGATACATTTAGATGTTGAATATTGGATACATATTCGAAATAATTAGATCGCAAGATAGGTAACATACAAACTCCAGTGTGACCTTCTAAGTCTAGAGATTCTA